GAAATGTGAAAAACGACATTGAGCTTATATCGTGCTAGAATAAAGCGGTGCAATTCCATTTACAGTGACAGATTCACCTTGCTCGCTCAAACCCGCTTTTCTAAGGGAATTTGTGTAATGTGTTTTCAGGATGACACTGTTCATGAACGAGACCAGATTCGTCTGAATACCACCGATAAGAATACCGTTTCTCTAGGAACAAAGATTCTCAAGGGAACCTATGTGCTAAAGGTTTGTTATGCAATTGCTTGTCTGTTTTGTAGGAATCCTCAAGCAACGTATGAAATTTGAAAATTCATAAGTGGCAGCGTGTATGAATGTTTTGCCCTTAGCCTTTTGATGCTAACGCGCAAGATTTTCTTTTCTTAGCAGTTCATTTTTATTTGTTGTGTTGAGTTGGTTAGAGTTTCTCGTATATGGATAACCAAATTTTCAAAAGCATTAACAATTATCACGTTTTAGTCTACTCCACGGACTCCCTTTCCATGGTGTTTTACCGCCGACACCATTTTTCATAGCATCAGCTGGAAACTTGCACACTAGTTTTTAGAAGTATTTTTAAGGTAGAAGGCGGAGGTAATCTAGTAGCAGGTGGCGCTGCCTACTACGTGCACGGGGCGCTGTCCATTTCATCCCCGAACCGTGCGGTGTAAAGGCCCTACATCCCTCCATGGTCGGTTAATCGGTAGCAGGCATGTGTAGGAGATAAAAACACTGACATGTACATCGATTAGCCTCAGCAAGGTAAAATACGTCGCACTCAAATAGTACTATGGTTCTGAATGGAAGTAGAGGGCGTGGCGCATTTCAAAAATGTGATTGATCAGCGCGGAACTTTATCCTTTGTATCCTTTGTACTCTATCCCTTATGTGTCATTTAGGCTATCGAAGCTTTGAAAATGGAACAATGTATCATATTTTGTCGAACGAAGCAGCAGTGTGATGACATGGAAGCTTATCTGCTTAGAAACAGTATGCTGAACATGAATCTTGATATTTTCTCATGTATTCATTAACATTCTATTCTTTCAGTGATTTCTTTTATATCTTGCAGAGTATGGAGCTGTCTGCCTGCATGGTGATCGATCGCCAAGGGAAAGATCACAAGCTCTCCAAGACTTCAAGGTATAAGTTTGAGAAATGGTTAGGGTAGTGGATGAATAATTTTCCACAAACTGGTTCCCGTTTTTTTCAGGCGAAAAAGAAGCCATTCCTGGTATGCACTGATGTTCGCCGCTCGTGGTATCGATATTAGCGGCGTGCCATTTTGTAAGCTTTATAGAAGCTTGATTCAGTTTTTCTTCTCGCTCGCGGGTTCTCCTGTCG